TCCACTCAAGGTTGTATCTTCCCAAATACCCAAGCCTTTGGTATTTATAGGGAAATGCACCCTTGATTTCCAATCTCCTATCAATGTGGGAGAGTTGGTAAAATCAATAATTTATTTAATTCTAAATTAAATAAATAATTAAGTTAATCACATTGTGACAAGTGGCACAATCACATGCTAATGAGTGATGGCCAAGGCTAGGTGGGGGGACCATTTGCCTTGCACCCCAAGGCCCCTTGATTGGTCCCCACAAGCAAACACAAAACCGGCACATGGGCTGCTAGGCTGGCAGCCAGCTAGCGTGCCAGCCAGCCAGCACTCCCTTGATGCCCAGCATCCCCATCGCATGCACACACGCACCAGCCCCACGCATCATCGCTGCAACTGCTTGCTAGCCAGCACGCACTGGCACTCGTACACGCACACGCATAGGGCATTTCCTGGCATGCTGCTGTGCGAGGCTACTGCTGTGATGGTTCGATGCTGTACACGCACGCACACACACGCAAGCCCCTGGCGTTGCGATGATGCTGTGGGTGGTGTCAGGCCTGCGATGGTGCATGGGATGCGTGCTACGATGGTTCGATAGGCCTAGGCACAAGCACACGCACGCACGCAAGCCCTTGGCATTGCGTTGGTGCTGTGCGTGGTGCTAGGCCTGCGATGGTGCGTGGGCACTCGCACACGCCCAACGTGCTGTAATGCGAGGCAAGCACTCACGCTAGTACTTGGTGCTAGCGATGGTGCTGCCATGCTAGGCACGCATGCACGCCAACACCTAGTGCCAGCGATGGTGCGCCTAGTGCATGATGCTAGGGCTGCGATGGCGCCTAGGCATCATGCCTCGCCTAGCATACCATGGTGCGCCTAGGCTTGCGATGAGCTAGCCTAACCTAGCTACGACTATGTTCGTACTTGTCGCTTGTGATTTTACGACGCCCTAGGCTCGATATCCGACGTCTGTATTCGTAAAAATCCGTCGACTCATTAAATCCTTCGGATTACTTCATCTTCTCGGATCAGTTGTTCGATTGGGTTCGACCCGAAGGGTTCAGTTAAGATTAAGCTGTAATATTAATTGTACCTTAATATTACTGATCGGAAGCGGCCTCCACCTAGGCATTTCGATCACTTGACCTTACTGAAGAATTAGCTCTAAAATAATTCTGAACCCTCTATCAGAATAATACACTTGTTGGAAGGACACCATTCCTTTCAGAAATTACAATGGCCATGGAAGAGGCCGTGGAAATTATTGTGGACAAGGCCGTGGACTTGGTAGAAATAATTTTCAAAGAAACAGTAATTTCAAAAATTCTAAAAAAAAAGAAGGAAAAATCATCTAGAAGCCACAAACAAACTCCTTCTAAAGGAAAAGACACATGTTACAGATGTGGCATGACAAGGCATTGGGGACGTACTTGTCGTATGGCCAAAAATTTGGTAGATCTTTACCAGGCTTCTGTAAAAAAGGCAAAGGAAAAAATGAAGAAGCAAATTATGTTAATGAAGAAAATGCTCCTTATCCTAGCCTTGACGTGTCGATTATTTCTTGGACAACGCTAAAATTGGAAATTATTTCATCTTCGAAGAAAATAACAATGCTTAGATTTTCCATCTACTAATGTAATATATATATATATATATATATATATATATATATATATATATATATATATAATGTTTTAATGTATTTTCTTTTATGTACTGTATTCTAAATTTCTAGTCATGTACTTTTAATTTCTATCATCAATAAAAGTTTGTATGATAATATTCTAAACTAATCTCAAAATTATGAAGATATGGATCTGACCAAAGTTGGTTCTGAATATATTAATGCCTTTTTGACAGTGGAACAACACATACTATCTTGAAGGATAGAAAATATTTTTCACAACTAAGGTTGTTTCAAGCAAATGTAAACACTATTTCTGGATTTGGAAAGGCTTGTATAGTACTTCTGAATGGACAAAATTGATGATCAATAATGCTTTATATTCGAGTAAATCTCAAAGAAATCTCATAAGCTTTAAAGATGTACTCCAAAATGGCTATCATTTGGAAACAATGACAATAGATTAAAAGGAGTATTTATGCCTCACGACAGAAAAATATGGCAAGAAACACATTTATGAGAAATTGCCAGCATATTCTTTGGGGTTATATCGTATAAACATACGACCCGTGGAAATCAATATGATATCTCACCAGAAGTTAGATGACAAGCATTTGATTATTTTATGGCATGATTGTTTAGGGAATCCAACAAATGGGATGATGCAAAGAATTATAGCAAATTCAATTGGACATTCAATAAGAAATGTCAAAATTCCTCGATCAGATGAATTAACATGCTTTGCATGTTCACTTAGCAAATTAATAATAAGACCATCTATGAACAAAATTGCTATTAAATCTCCAAATTTATTGGAAAAAATTCAGGGAGATATTTTTGGGTCAATTAATCCGGCATGTGGACCATTTCGATATTTCATGGTTTTAATGGATGCTTCTACACAATGGTCACATGTTAGTCTGCTTTCAAGTAGAAATGTTGCCTTTGCAAAATTACTTGTCCAAATTATCAAATTAATAGTTCAATTCCAAGATCATACAATAAAGAAAATAAGACTAGACAACGTTGGGGAATTTACATCCCAAACATTTAATGATTATTGCATGTCAATTGGAATTGTTGTTGAACACCCAGTAGCTCATGTTCATACACAAAATTGTCTAGCTGAATCACTAATAAAGAGATTACAATTGATTGCAAGACCACTATTAATGAGTTCAAAATTGCCATCATCTACTTAGGGACATGCTATAATACATGCAGCAGCACTAATTAGATTGAGAGCTACGACTTATCATAAATTCTCACCACTACAACTTGTTTTGAAAGGAATGGTGTCCTTCCAACAAGCGTATTATTCCGATAGAGGGTTCGAAATTATTAGAAAGCTAATTTTTCAGTGAGATCAAGTGATCGAAATGCCTAGGGGGAAGCCGCTTCCGATCAGTAATATTAATGTATAAGTTATATTACAGCTTAATCTTGACTGAACCTTTCGGGTCACACCCAATCGAGTAACCGATCCGAGGCGACAAATCAATCCGAAAGATTAGACGAGTCATTAGAGTATTACGAACAAAGACGTCGGACATCGAGCTTAGAGCGTCAAAACCGAGCGCCGTAAGTCGAGTCGAATTTAGAATTTGACGAGACGAGAATTCAAGCAAGCGACAAGTTAGAGCTATGTCGTAGCCTCGCATTTGCCTAGCAATACGAGTGCTAAGCTAGCTTAAGATGCCATGCGCATCATTAGGCATACCGCAAGCATGCAACGCATAGCACTCGCACAGCAGCTCGCTATGCGTGCTTGTGCTATGGGTTGTGCATGCCGGGCATCGCATAGCAGCAGCATCATCGCACTCGCACAACACACGCATTGCTGGCAGCGTGCTGTGTGTGCGTATGCGTAGTTGTGCGTGCTTGCTAGCGAGCAGCACCAAGCAGCAGCATCGCAACAGTGTGCAAGCTGGCTAGGTTGTGCGTGCTAGCATAGCAGCACCAAGCAGCAACACGAACCAAACAGCAGCATCGCATGCGTGTGTGCTGGCTGGTTGCACATGTGCTGCGTGCTTGCGGCTGGGCTACCTAGCCTTGGTGCTAGGCGCCTTGACATCCAAGGTAGGCTACAAGCCAGCCATGTGGTGTGGTGTGTCCCAATTTTGTGTGGGGACCGAAATTAAGGGGGTTGCTTGGTGAGCAAGGGGTTTGGTCCCCCCCTTTAATGGTCCTCACCTACTCTTGCTCTCCATGTGACACTTGGAGCTTATTGATTGCCTTGCATTTTATTTTGTTTTTAATTAAAATCAAATTGAAGAAAAATGCAAATCTCCCACATTGATGGGAGAAGGGAGATCAAGTCTCCTTTCCCTATAAATACCCAAGTTTTGGGTTTGAGAAAGAACACTTGAGTTGAACTCAATAAGGCATCTCCTTATAGGTGAGAAAACCTTTAAGTTTGTAATACTCTAGTCTTTTCTTCGTTTAGCCCCGACTAACCTTCGGGGTAGAGGCCGCTCGGGTCGGGTCTCGAGGGTGGACTCCGTCGGAGGCTCTCGCACTTGCGTAGCTAAGGCTTTGAAGTCTGAGCTCTATAGGAGCGAAGCACGCGTCGAGGGTAAGAATTTCATTCCCCTTTCTCTTTCTTTTGTTGTTTAATTATGTGATTGCATGCTTAGTTGCTTTAATTAGTGGGTGGGTCTTGGGCGGGTTTCTCTTCCGCGTAGTGTTGGATGCTACAAAACCCAACAGCGGTATCGGAGCCGTGCTCATTTTAATTATTGTAACTAATAACTATTTGAGGTGATTTAAAATGGATTTAAATTCTGGTTTTTCTTTCTAGTTAGATTAGAAGCTCATTTTAATTAGTTTTAATCTCGTGTTTATACTAATTTTGGCCAACGAACCCAGAGTTCGACTCAAAAATAGTGATTTTTAGGTGGAATTGATGTTCTAAATCGTTTTTTTTTTACCCCATTTAGGTCTGTCGAGAAGCCAAAATCCACCTTGAAACATGTTTTTCGAGGGGTTTTTCGTTTTTGACGAAAAATTTTAAATCTTTAAACCTTGATTAATTATGGCATGTTAAAGGTAGATTAAATGTATGGTTGCATCACTAATCTACTGCAATAACAAACCTTATTAAGCATGTCTATGAAGTCATATTTGGTGCTTAATTTGGTGAGCTTATTTTTCACATACACTTGAAATTTCACATTTTTGCAAATTAATTGCTTCAAGTGTGAATGTTTATGGTGAATGTGCAATTTTGATGTCCCTAATATGTTAAAGATCCAATCTTTAATTGTTTATTTGGTTGGAACTTTGATTTCTAAATTCCATGTTGAACTAATTTTTGGATTTAATTATTTTTGAGTTGATTAAAGTCCTAAAAGTTCAAAACTTGTGATTGAAATTTAATTAATCTTCATATTGAAAGATGTAATTTTTCAATTATTCAAAAGTTAGTGTTCACTAGTAGATAAAATTAAAAAGGCACCCCCCTTTTCGCATCGGTTCTTAAAAACTGGTGGGAAAAGAAATGGGCGGGATTTGGATATATACTTTTCGCACCGGTGCTAAATTTAGAAAAAAACAAAAGGTATTTCGCACCGGTTCAGCCCAAACCGGTGGGAAAACTTTATTTACAACCGGTTCGAACCGGCGCGAAATAAAAAATAAAAAAAAACAAGCTTAATATTGAAATTCTTCTTCTTCCTTCAGTTTTCATTCCCCTGCTAGCTTTTCCACTTCAATTCTTCCTTCTCTCGTTGTCGCCTACCTTCACCATTGCTCTCCTTCACGCATAGCTCCGAATTTTCACCATAGCTGTCCTCCATTGAAGCGTATTCTGGGCTTTCTCACCTCCATTGAAGCACAACTCCTCCCTTTCTCTCCATAGCTCTCCTCCATTAAAGCGCATTCTGCTGAGCTTTCTCACCTCCATTGAAGCGCATTCTAAGCTTTCCAACTCCATTGTAGCAGCTTCGAGGTAAGATTTATTTCGTGGTCTTCCTAATTTATTGAATACCTTCGCAATCTAGGGTTACTCGTTGATTTAGGGTTTTCTGATCATTGTGGTTTGCTGTTGTGACTTTAATTTCGAGTTGTGCATTCAACAATAGTACATTGTTTTAGGGTTTTCTGTTCTTTGTGGTTTGCTTTGAGATTTTAGGTGGATTCTGTTGTAACAGTTGGTGGAATTGGTGGAATTTTGCTACCATAACTAAAATTATCGAGTGTGCATCATGTGACACACTAACATAACTCGCAGGTAATAGTGAGTTTTGCTTGATTTGTTATCCTAATTATATTTACACAAGTTAGGGTTCTTGTTCTTTGAATTTTCTGGATTTTCGGTTTTATTGTCACTGTTAGTTTAGTCTCGCTCCTCCTTCCAATTTCGTTTTTAAGGGTTTAATTTTTCTGGGTTTTGTTTATTTCATCTCATCTTTTTCTGGGTGAATTCTGGTGAAATATGTTTTGATAATTGGATTTATATATTTACTGTTGCAATTCTTGTTTTTTGTTTAGGTTTTGTTTGTTTTAGCTCATATTTTCTGTAGTTTTTGCTGGGTGAAATTTATAGGATTGGAACTATATAAGTGTGGAAGCTTTATTCATTGATTAATTAGGGAGGATAGGAGAAAACAGAGCTGATTACAAGATTTGATGTCCTGTCTATCTCGGTTCGTGGAGATGCTGGAGATTATTTCAGTGATGCAATCGCCATTGGATCCTTTCATGCTACTCAAAGTGGTATCGTCGTGGTTTATTCTGCTGGTAATTCTGGTCCTGATGTAGCGTCTGGTTCAAATGTTGCACCATGGATTGTTACTGTTGGAGCAAGTACTATGGATAGGGAGTTTCAAGCTTTTGCTGACCTTCGAAATGGGCAGAGATTTAAGGTATCAGTCTGCAGCTTTAACAAATTATATTAGCTAATCAATCTGATGATCTTAGAAGATTGTCTGTTTTTCTCAAAGTTTTATACTGTATTCAGGGTTCGAGCTTATCAAAACCTTTGCCAAATGACAAGCTTTATCCACTCATATCTGGTGCTCAGGCGAAAACTGCCAATGCATTTGCGGCAGACGTGTAAGTTTAACCCTTTCTTTACCATCAAAGCTTGTTCTAACTGTGATATGTTGTAAACCTGATATTAGTCTATTTCGGCAGGCACATTGGATAAAACTAGAGTACAAGGAAAAATCGTGGCATGTCTTCGTGGTGGTAATGCAAGAGTGGAGAAAGGCGTGCAAGCATTACTTGCTGGAGCTGCAGGGATGATCCTTTGCAACGACAAAGATAGCGACAATGAGATTATAGCTGATCTTCATGTCCTTCCAGCAACACAACTAACCTAGACAGATGGGGCTGCTGTTTTGGCCTATATCAATTCAACTGCGTACGTATTTAATTGTTTGTTCATTTATTTACTATTGCTACAAAATCATCCAATTTAATTCTTTAGCTAATCCAAATGTAGAAATTTGTTGACAGTGAGCCTTATGGTTACATCACTCATCCAGCAGTTGTTCTAAATACCAAGCCAGCTCCTTATATGCCTGCATTTTCATCTAGAGGTCCAAATCCTGTTACACCTGAGATTTTAAAAGTAAGTTGTCGTCATTTGAAATCTTCAGTCTGATTGAAATTGAACATATGCATAGTAATTTAAATCCTCGGATTTAATTTTACTTTTGGTTGAAATGTGACTTGGACTCGGGTATAGGTGTCTAACAATGACACGAGTTTTTAGTGCCATACACCATTTGATATGCCATGTATTCTTTTAATATAAATTGAAGTGTCAAGTATTCAATTTTCATACCCATATCAAAGTGTCGAAGAAGTAATGATGTTCTTGTGCTCTGCAGCCTGATATCACAGCACCAGGAGTGAAAGGAGTGATATCACAGCCTGATTCTTTTAATATGTTTGACTATTTAAAATTGATTTTGTGGGATTTTCTTATTGTGGTTGATTTGGTCAGATTTTGTATGTTTCCTTTTTGATCTGACTTTCTTATTGGCTTCCTTAGATCTAGGCGTGAATTAGGTAGTTGAGAATTTTTGATTTTGGGCAATATTCATCCTTTATTTACCTGGGTTTTTGTAAGGTTCATTGTTGACATAATTGGTCAGATTGCTTGGTTTCTGTTGTCTTGAGTTTTCTGGAGAAATATAACCAGGTTTAGTCATTTATCTTATTGCATTGTCCTTTAAGATCATTGAGTCACATAGTATCCGAAATTGTGTCCAAAATCTTTATTGGGTTGTCTTTAATCATGTCTAGAACCTGCTTTTGGTGTGTTTTTTCCAAGGATTGGTGTGCTTCATTGTTATTGGTATTGCTCTTCAAGTTCATGCTGCTTGTAGTTCATTGTCATAAGTTCGATGCCTGCTGATTGCTGATTCTGATTTTATTTTCGCGTTTTCTTATGTGAATGGACACAGGATGCAAGGGAGGTCTCAGCCCCGATTCCAGAAGGACACGGTGGCCGAGGTTGCACAGCCTCTTGCTGATGGTATAGATGTAGGTGTAGAATTTAAACCTGTTGAACATCCAGTTGAGCCTCTTGACAATGATAAACCTGTTCCTTTTTCTTTTTAATATTTATGGCATGTGGATAGCTAAAGGTCTGCAGCAGCACCTGGCTAGTTATTACTGTACTAGTTTTTGTTAAACCTTAGAGGCTAGCATCACTTTGTCTTTTTAGGTTTTGCAATACCTTGTATAAATCAGCTATGCTATAGAATTTATTATTTGCAATGCATGGAATATATTTGCTCAGTTAACAAGACTGAGAAATTTGTTCGTTCTTCCTGTCATGAAGTGTATCAACTTTTGGATTGCAGCTTCTAGTTAGCTATGGTATTGAGGATGTGAAGGGAATCCTTCCAGAGGATCAGGTTATAAAGTCTGCAAAATGCCAGGTAATTTCTAAACCCATCCCCTGCTATATGAACTGTAGAAGTTAAGGAAGATGAATTGGGAAAAGCACTTTATGAATGGATATTAAATGACAAGAGTGGGTGTGATATTAAGTGAGATATCAGTTTACTGAAAACCACCATGAGCGCCCTTTAATCATAATCTCTTAAACTTTCTACTTTACTAGTAAACGATATTAAGTGAGATATCAGTTTACTAAAAACCACCATGAGCGCCCTTTAATCATAATCTCTTAAACTTTCTACTTTACTAGTAAACGGAAGCCTCGTTGACAAAATCTAAAGTTCGTGTGGCAATTAGGATAGACAAAATGCTCATGTGTAGTAATGAATTTATATTTGGTTATACAGGCGTTGGCTAGACTTCTTCCTTCCCTAAAACGAGATGGTCATCGTGTTCTTATATTTAGCCAATGGACATCAATGCTTGATATCTTGGAGTGGGCATTGGATGTGATTGGGGTTTCATTTAGACGTCTCGATGGAAGGTAAAAGGCCAGCATATTTATTCTGTTTTTAAACGCCTGAGTTATTGCAGGGTTTTTTTTTTGGCTAGGATATAGAACAGCTGCTCTCTTTTTCTTTACCCTTATTATGTTGATTTGATTCCAAGTAACACAGTTATTTGTGTGCTAAAACTAGTTTGTACTGGCAGTACGCAGGTGACAGAGAGACAAACCATAGTAGATACTTTCAATAATGATACTACAATATTTGCATGCTTGCTCTCCACCAGAGCTGCTGTGAGCTGCTGTGCTGTGATGTCGAGTTTTCCTGTGTTGATGTGATGCGCTGCTGTGTTGGTGTTGCTGTGTTGCTATCTGCTTCCTTTTGCAGTGCTGTGTTGCTGGTTTCTGGGGTGTTGTGATGCTGAGTTGATGTGCTTGCTCTGCTGCTTTGGTGTTGCGCTGTGTTTTGTTATTTTTGTAGCCTGTTGAGCTGCTTAGTTTGGGCTGCTTAATTTAGTTAGATGTTTGTTGTTTATATGCTTCATTAAAACAGGTTTTTGGAGTATTAGAAGTAAATTTCTGTAACTTTATATATATGTTAGTGTTTATATATCAATTTAAGTGAAAAAAATGCAAAAAAAAATAATTTTTTTTTTTATATTTTTTGGGCATTTTTGGCACCGATTTTGGAAAAGAACCGGTGCTAAAAGTTTTTTTTAAAATTTTTTTGGGGACTTTTGGCACCGGTTCTAAACAAAAACCGGTGCGAAAAGTTCAGTTTTTGCCACCGGTTTTCCCTAAGAACCGGTGCGAAAAGTCCTTTTTCCCACCGGTTTTGAACCGGTGTGAAATCTATGGGGTTTTAGCACCCCCAAATAAAACCCGGTTCAAAACCGGTGGGAAAGGGGGGTTTGAACCGGTGGGGAATTCGTTTTTTCGCCTAGTGGTTGGAAACTTTTCATTAGTGAATGGGTTTATTTTTCCAACCTCTTCAATTTTTTCAAATCTCATTATTAATTTATGTATGGTTAAATTAATTGTGAGTATAACCCTTCAATTTTGTAGCATCATGATAAACCGAAAATTGATTTAAAGAATGGTTCTTGAATATTTTGGTTTGTGCACTAAAATTGAATTTATTTAAGTTAGACTTTGTTATATTTTCATTCTTGCTCAATGTTGGTTTTAAAACAAATTTAGAATCGATTTTATGTCACACAAATATCAGGATTAAATCCCGTGAAAAAAAAGCACGCAAATCGAGGCAATAACCGCCAAAGCACACCACATGGCTAGCCGGGCTGCTCACGCAACCCACATGTGGCTGACGTGGTGTGCATGGGCTGCTTATGGCTCGAAGTGATGCTAATGTGTGGCGGTTTTGGGCTTGGTGCACGCATGTTGCTACACGCATAGTGCAGTATTTGCATGTTTGGTGCATCGAGGATGCAAGGGTGTTGCGCACAAGGTGCTACGATAAGGGTGCCCTAGGGCTGTGATGTGTTGCTAGGCAACATAAGCTCGCATGGTTTAGGACCTTTGAGGCCATGTCTTGTGTGTGTGAAAGTGCACTGATGTGGCCGGTGTAACGTGTATACGACATTGAGATTACTCCCACGTGCTTGGGCCACAAGCGGTTTTGCGGGTGCGGCCACGCAAGGCACCTCAAGCCTTCATGCTAAGCACTTAGGGATCGTAATGCATCATTGGGCTATGTATTTTCTATTTTACTTTATTTAATTATTTTAACGAGGCTAGGCCTCGGTTCCTCCGGCACTTGCAAAATAATTTGGCAAAATATGGGTTAACTGGCTTAACTAATTGGATTAATTAAGTTGGATGCGGAATTTAGTGGGAGCTTCGTTAATTGCTTGAGCTAATTTATTGCGTTTGATCAAATAATCAATAAACAACTTTGACTAGTTATTAATTAGGCATGTTAATCGGATTAACCACCTAAGTTAGTTACTAGTTTACTCGTGTTATGCATTGTTATTTGTTTTTCGTTGTAAAATGCATGGGCCATTCACATATAGTGAATGGATGAATGGAATGTATATTCTATCACAGGTTTTGTGAAAATGACAACTAGTGGGGCCCGATTAGGATAGTAAATACGGACTGCGATCCATTATGTATTTTTATAAATCTAAACACGGTATGCGTACCGCTGTGTATTTTTGTACCTTAATATTTAGATTAGTCCTAATCGTTATAGCTATTATTTGCATATTTGGTGGAGATGTCTCGAAAACGGCGTTTCTAAGAAGACAAGCCAAGAAGTTGCATCAAAGACCCATGGAGATTTGAAGACTCAAGGGGTCATGCTAGTTGCCAAATACATCTTTTACTTTTGTTCTATATATAGTTGTATTTATATATGATTGAATGGTATGATAGATGCATGTTTAGGATTTAAAATGTTGCGATGATTAATTAAGTTCACTTAAATCAACCAACATAGAAACCCTTGGTCCCTATAATATTGAACCAAACTTGCCATTCCAAGAACGACACTTACCGAACTAATGCGCGTGGTGATGGGTTACGCTAAAGCGAGGCATTATTGCTTCCTTAGGAACGTAAGGTATACTAGGTATATAAGTTGTCTTGGTTAAGCTCAATGATATCAGTATGGAGTCCTTACTTAGATGTCGTGGCAATGGAGATAAAATGTCAAGGAAGCATTAGATGCGACGTTTTATCGAACCAAGAGAACCTTAGAGCTATTAGCAATTGGATTTCTTACCTTAAAATATTAAGTGTTAAGACAAGCTAAAGCATGCTTAATCACTTTTTGATATTGGGATCTTGAAATCGTTTTATTCTCGCCTAAAAGGGACAAATTTTAATGCGTTATAAGACGCATAATAAGATTGAAAGTTTTCATGTATGCTTTGAATTTCAAACTTATTATGTTATGAACTTGATAAATGGTTATACTTTGAAATTATATTTGTAGAATTCTAAATCAAATTATATTATTTTCAATGATTGGTAAAGGAAATATTTTGAAAATGGTTCTCAAGGAAAGAAAAGACATTTCTAAAATAAAACTTCTCATAATTGACTTTTATAACTAAAGTCCGAAAGGACGGTTGGATATCATGTATTCAAAATACAAGGTAGTTTTGATGAACATAAAATATTGAGTTGAAAACTCGAATTGTCAATAGTTGACAACCAACATACCTTTTCGCTTCATACACAAATGAGTAGGACTCATTGATGTAGTAATTCAAGTACGAATTGAAGGAAAAGATGGAACTTTGTTTCACGGCGCATTAGATGCTTAATTATGCCTAACAAAGTGTAAAAGTTATGAGATAGTGTATGATAAGAAATATAGGAAACAAGGAACAAAGGAAAGGAATAAGATTCCTTTTCTACCCATGAGTTCATGTTATTATGGTTAACTTAGCAATTCGTTATCTTCACAAGTACTGGATACTGCTTGAGTGTTCCACTTTGAAAGTGACCTCAAACCATTGAAGTCAAGCTAAGTTATTGACTTACGACCTTAGAATGAACCAAGTAGTGCTATATCAGTTGTAAGGTCGTTTGGTTGTACGCATTGCAACATAAATTACGATTTAAAGTTAGATTATGTCGATATTTATCCATAATCATAATATTCGAGCGACACCTTTATGCAAAATGGAATCAACTACTAAAAGTCAAATAAAATTGCCATTTTTATTTATAGGAATGAGGATTAATTAGTTAATTTAACAATGTGCAAATTACAAAAGTACTTTAGTAGTGATATTGTGGGCACCATGCTACTTGTTTAAAGTCCTTTTAAGCCAAGGCTGAAACGAATAATGGTTATTGTGTTCCATAATCAGCAAACGATCCGTTTACACATGGAAAGACTCACATTCAATAAAAGAGAAATAGTTGCGGGTTTTATTTAAATGGCATGGTTGTCTAAGCCATGAGTCAAGAATGCTAGATTATAAACAAACATTTCCCTAACATGAAAACTCACAAGGTTTAAATCATGGACATGATTTGTGTTCTAAACATCTTTAGCAATGTCACATCGACAAGAACGTACTCAAGGCTCTATTAGATAGACTCTTGATAGTTGATCGATTCAAAATCGTTCTAAGGCAAGCAAGTCTTACTTGATGAAATCGACAAAGAAAGGAGCTATTGTGCTTGGTATAGACAATTGACTCTGTAAGCTAAAGAGAATACCATTACTTCAACGTCTCACAAGAATTTTGAAGAATGTGGCTACATTCATCAAATGTGAACAAACTGGACCTTGAGTAGCTCAAATGTTCAGTGAAGTATAGAATCGACTTGGCAAGATATCAAAACGTCTAGATTAGATCAAGCGATGTTTTCTTGATCCAAGAGTGATCATATCAAAGTTATGAAATTAAAATTTCATAAAGAGCTCCACAAAGAATATAGTATGTCTTAACGGAGACCTCGATGCCATGTGGAAACGACTCAAATGATGATGGATCACATCCCTTCCTATAAAGCTCTTAAAGGTTTGCACAAATGACTAGTGTTACACTAAACAAAAGTTGTCGAAGCTAAGAAAGGACACCATATTCAATTATGGAAAGAAATAGTTTCTAGCATCTTTTCAAGTATATGTCTAGGGCTCTTAGCTCAGTGAGAGTTCATTGGCTCAATAGGATCTAAGTGGCTCAATAAGAGCTAAGGTAGCTCAAGAAGGAGCTAACTATTTGTTTCACAACGATCTTTTACCCAAAGACAATATACATGTCTCTTTGTATGTATTCAAGTGAGACTACGAGCATTACTTCCACAACCTAATTGAGAACACAGTAGTTGTTTCTCTAAGTGGTGTCTTTCTGGAAACTAACACATTTCCAAAACGACAAGTGGGAGGAAAATGAACTCGATGACCATCGAGATTAGAGACAAACTTAAACAGAGAATCTCCGAAGACTTTAGAAGGGCTTCATGAGAATGATTGATCAAGAATACTCAAAGGACTTCACAAGTGCCTTAAATGAGAATTCAATCCTCACAAAACTTTAGAAGTGGTGGAGTAAGATCAATATAATCAAAGGGCTTTAAAAGAACCATGAAACTCAGTGTTTGATGCAATTACCTCGTATAGGTATAGAATTCATCAGAGGCTTGGATTGAATCCTATAAATTTCTATTAAGTTAGAAATAAACCTAAGACTTACAAGCATACTATTTACCATTGGATGATGAGGGAATAATGTCTTGTAAATTAGCTACGACAAATCCAAATTCCGAATAATGGTTTGAGGCCATAAAATCCGAAATAGACTGCATGTTTGTAAATCATGTTTGGAACTTGATTCATTTGCATGAAGGGTGAAAGACCTATCAATCGCAAATAAGTTTTCAAGGAGAAAACTGACAAATGTGGAAATGCATAAGCATACATAGCTAGATTGGTTGAAAAGGATACAATTAATTCACGGCATTGATTTTAATAAAAAGGCTTTCGACCCATATGTATAAAACTAAGTAAATGTTTGAACTAAGTATAAGCTGGGAAAATACTAAGTCAAACAAGAAAGACTCTAGTAGAGACTTTCAACCGTATCACATAGAAAACAATTTAGCAAGACCCGGTGAAACTGGATGAGCTAAAAGGTCACATGAATGGAACAATAT